ACCCCCAGCCCCCCCCCCCCCCCCCCCCCCACCCCCTCTCTTTTCGTCCTCGTTCTCCGATCCCGCGACCGAGACGAAGGCTGGACTTCGCCAGCTCTCCCGATCGAACCATCAAGGCGGAGTGAGAGCACGAGAAGCGACGCCATCGCGGCAAGTGTTCGCTCCCAGGATCGGCCCCCTCTCTTCGATTCTAGGGCTTGGATTTGGATTGTTGGTTTTGTCTGTGAGGAATAGAGAGAGGGAGCGAGGGTGTTCGAGATCCTTGTGGAGATTCAATAATTGGGTGCATTCATGTTCTTAGGGTTTTCGATTCGGTCTACTATGTAAAATAAGTCCTCTGCTCGAACCGAATGGATTCTTTTGCTCTTGATGTTTGTAACGAGTAATTGTGGATGGTGCTTCAGTTTTTGTCCTCTTCCTCCACTTTCGTCGTTTTATTTTTCTCCTCGTTTGATGTTTGTATGCCTGATATCCAAGAAAGAAGACGAAAAGAAGAATAAGCTTATACTTGAACCCAGAGGTGTGGGATTTTGATTCGAGTTAGTAATTTTCATTGTACTTGAAACATCAAAACAGTTCACCTTGATAGACTCGAGACAAGAAAAGGAAGAGTTATTTATCATTCATGGAGAGCTCTGGATTAGTTAAACGGAGTAACGGGCACCTTGGGGTCACCGAGCCAATCTCGTGGAGTGGGCCGACTGAATATGATGTGATCAAGACACAGGAGCTCGAAAAGGTTGAATTTTTGAATCATACTGGTGCTTTTTTGTTTTGTTCAAATTCGTTATTCAAATGAATGAGTTATTGCATTCTACCTTTCCTTTCTATCAGTATCTTGCAGATGCTGGGTTGTATGAAAGCCAGGAAGAAGCTGTTTCCAGGGAAGAGATTCTGGGAAGATTGGACCAGGTTGGAAATTTGTGATTTTATTTCATGTTATTCTTACGCTGTTTGCTTCTTTTAGCTGAACCTCATGGTATGCGAATTTTGACAGATTGTGAAAATATGGGTCAAGAAAGTTAGCAGGGCCAAGGGATTCAATGAGCAGTTTGTCCAAGAAGCAAATGCCAAGATATTTACTTTTGGTTCTTACAGACTGGGGGTACATCCGTTCAACATTCTTTGCCCATTGATAAAAGGCATTCACATCGGAGGCTTGAATAACTTAATAATTTGCTCTTGTTGATGTTGTACCACTGTGAATGTAGTGACGTTTGACTTTTGTAAAATTTGATAAATATCAAATAATTTGCAACTGCTTTTCTTAAATTTAAATAGGAAATCTGAAAATACATGCTCACTCACTGGTTTTTGTTCTCTTCAAACGACCCTTATATGAATTGCTCCTCTAGGATCCTGTGACAGCACAAGATAACAAAACAAAATTGGTTGTATGCCTACTTTATTGAAATTTGGTTTCTGTGTGGACTCTCATTAAGAAATTTGAACAATAGTTTCAAAACTTCTGAGCATCCCTACATGTGTTTATGCATTAAAAAAAGATCAAGTCTCAGGTCACTATGGCATTCCTAAAGCAATTTTGTCTGTGGTGCAGTAACAAACATCAACCACAGAACCTTATTACAACTTACTGAGCATAATGGAAGACAAATAAGCATGATAAGTCCGTAAGTTAAGATTCCATGGGTTTAAATTGAATAAACTTGACTAATTGGGATTGATATAACCCTTAATCTAGCTTTATTAGCCAAGATTATATCACTTCTCTTAACATCTTAAATGTTACACCATGGTTTTTTCATTTTCCATCATTTACCATTCATCATCATTGTCAAAATTCATCAGCTTCTACTTCATGTTAATTATACAAGCCATCTGAGCACCAGTCTTACTCGGGAAGATGTTATAAGCTGTTAATAAAGTGTCCTGGTTAACATGTGAAAAAGTTGTTTTTTCATGGTCATCCTTGCTTATTTACTTCTCATATGACTCACCTGTCACCAATGGTTGAGCATCCAAAATTGAATTTTTTTTTTTGTGCTATTTGTACTAATGTTGGGTGTTATTATTATTTTTTATTGATTTGAGGTGCATGGCCCTGGTGCTGATATAGACACATTATGTGTGGGTCCAAGACATGCTACTAGAGAAGTATGATTAAGCTTTTTTTTATCATTCAGAATGCTGTTTTTATTTATCTCAGAAATAATCATTTGCAGTTACAATCTATTCTTTGAACTTTTTTGCAGGAGGACTTCTTCACAGAACTGCATAATATGTTGTCTGAGATGCCAGAAGTGACAGAACTGCATCCTGTCCCAGATGCTCATGTACCTGTGATGAGGTTTAAGTTTAGTGGAGTCTCCATTGATCTTCTTTATGCTAAACTATCACTTTGGGTCATACCTGAAGTAAGTTTGCTTCTCTTTGTTAGGCATTTCCATGATTTGACTAATTAAGCTGTCTTGCTTTACTTTGTTAGTCTGCAACATTATTGTTCGGAAGATTCAGGTTTATTGATGTAACAGTCATTGCTTAGACATGCGTATTCCAAGATATATCATTTTGGCTAAAAAGCTGCTTAGACGTGCTTTTGGGTACTAAAGTACTAAAATGTTTTACAGTTCCACTTTGATTGCATTGTTTCAGGACCTGGACATCTCACAGGACTCTATATTACAAAATGCTGATGAGCAGACTGTTCGTAGTTTAAATGGGTGTAGAGTCACTGATCAAATTTTACGCTTGGTACCAAATATTCAGGTCCTTGATCTCATTATAGTCCTCCACATTTAAATTTGACTAGTAATTTAGATAGAGCATGCAATAAAATAACAATCTACAAAATTTCCTATTTTATGAATTATGTAATTTTTTTGATAATTTGATTTTGTCTGATCCAGAATTTTCGCACAACCTTGCGTTGCATGAGGTTTTGGGCCAAGCGCCGTGGTGTTTACTCGAATGTATGAATCTTGTGTGCTACCGAGTTTTCCTGCATTTATTTGCATTTGTCATATATTAAATCTTTGTTTCTTGATCTTGCCTTCATGTTCAGGTTGCAGGGTTCCTTGGTGGTATAAACTGGGCATTGCTTGTTGCTCGTATATGTCAATTGTACCCAAATGCACTGCCAAGCATGTTGGTTTCTCGCTTTTTCCGGGTCTACACTCAATGGCGATGGCCAAATCCTGTGATGCTTTGTGAAATTCAAGAGGGTACTCTTGGGCTTCCTATTTGGGATCCTAGAAGAAATTTCAGAGACAGACTTCACCAGATGCCCATTATAACACCTGCTTATCCTTGTATGAATTCTAGCTACAATGTGTCATCATCTACATTGCGTGTGATGACTGAAGAGTTCCAGCGTGGAAACGAGATCTGCGAGGTGCATTGTATCACCTTATTTCCTCGTATCATTGTACATATGATGAGCATAACAAGCATGAGTTTTGCTATCATAGTCTCAATATTCTTTGTTTCCTCTGTAAGCTATCACCGAAGGTTCTTGACATGCAATTTTTTCCTTCACCTATCTCAATTTTCGTTAATACGGAAATCTGATGGAGGTCTGTAAGAAACTGTAGATTTTCATACTGTTTCGGCAAACTTGTAGGGTATTGATTCTTCCCATTGTTGACTGCACATCTGATATTTAACTAAATCCATGCTGTGATCTTTCTTTTTCATTGTTCATTGTGGTGGTAAATGTGCTCAGGCAATGGAGGCAAACAAAGCTGACTGGGACACCCTTTTCGAGCCCTATCCCTTCTTTGAAGCCTACAAGAATTATCTTGAGATAGATATCACTGCAGACAATGAATCCGACCTTAGGAAGTGGAAAGGTTGGGTAGAATCTCGACTTCGCACACTGACACTAAAGGTTAAGTGAACTATTTCTACATCTTTCAATTCCTTCAAGCAACTTGGGACTTCATTGGACCTTTCTGTCTTGATCCCTTTACAGATTGAAAGGCACACATTTGGCATGCTTCACTGTCATCCTTGCCCACGTGATTTCTCAGACAAATCGAGACCATTTCACTGCTGTTACTTCATGGGTCTGCAAAGAAAACAAGGAGTTCCAGTACAAGAGAGTGAGCAATTTGACATAAGGGGAACGGTGGATGATTTTAAGAACTCTGTAAGCATGTATACTTTGTGGAAACCTGGAATGGAGATCCAAGTTTCTCACAGAAAACGCAGAAATGTTCCATTGTTTGTTTTTCCTGGAGGTGTACGGCCTTCTCGTCCTCCTAAAGTTGCAGGGGTGGACGGTCATGCTGTCTCTGGAAGAAAGGTTTCTGATATGGTTCATGCTGGAAAACCTGCTGGGAATGTATCTCATGTGGCAGATGCATCTACTGACAGGAAGCAAATGGAAGGAAAAGGTGCTTCTTGTGATCCGATCGTTGAATCTTCCAGTGAATCAAGAAAGGGAAAACAATTAGATAATAGGACAGACAGCAATGCTGCTAATATGAATAATCTGGTTGATCATATATTGAAGCCATCTGAAATGGGAACGCCGTCTTCATTTGCCAATGGGGTCTTAGATGTGCCTGATGAATCAAGAAAGAGAAAATGCATGGATGTCACAACAGATAGCTTTGCTACTGGTTCAGAGTTTCAGGCAGATCATTCATTTAAACGACCTGAAACTTCAGCTGCCATTGCTGCTTCAGTTGGCCCTGTTACTGAAGTTGACAATGGCGAATCTATTTTTTGCTCTAAAGAAGCTGAGACATTGGCAATCAGTAAAATAACTAGTGTGCCACCTAGCAACCTTGCTGCTCTGCCGGAGGGACTTGATGAGCTTGAATACTTTGAATCTCAGGGCCATGATAAGGGTTTCGGAGGTCCTGTTGGTGGCCACTCTGTGGAGTCTTCTACTGTCAAAGATGCCATTACGCAACTTGGAAGTTCTTATGGCAGCAACACAAAGAATGGAGGCGTAGAAGAGCTTGAGGTCCTTGTTTTCAATCTTTTTTCTTTGCTTGTGTTTTCTGAGATATTTTGTTGTACCAGAAGATAATTTTATCCCGTTAAATTTTTTGGAAGGGTTATTGCTATACAGAATTCTGTAAGTTATTGCGTCGGAACATGCAAATGTGCCATAAGCATTAAAACATGTGATGTAGCACATGTTCATTAGGGCAATTTTATCAATGAATTAAAGTCGATCACAACCATCAGATTCTTTTTTTAAAATGTATATTTAAAGTTAGCCAACTTTATCAGTTAGATTTTTTTTTTCTATAAGAAAACATTTTGTTTCATAATGTGATTGAACTAGTACTGATTCCATGAATTTGTTGATTCAGAAATCTTCAGAGCTTTCTGCTCCATATCTGGGAGGAGCTCCTGCTTCAACAGCCAATACACAACGCAAGCCCCTAAGGTAATAATTGACTTGTTTGTTTGCCAAGGTTGAAATTGATCCACTACAACTACAAATCTGCTAGTCGATCGTCCTGCCATGTCAATCGATTGTGATGTATGGCTATTCTCTTGCATTTGGATGTTTAAAGCTGAACCCTATGCAGGTTGAGGTTGTCTACGGTGGCGAAATCTGCTGGAGAGAGATCATGATTCTACTCTCCGAAGGTCAATGAAGATCCATTTGTGACTCCCCCGGGAGACATGAGACGGCCACCGGAAGAACTAATTCCGAAGACTACATGATGATTATGCTGTCCATCTTTATTCGAGTATTCGGCAAGCCTTGAAACCTATTGTAATATTACCAATGCGCAATATCAAGATCAGACTTTTGCCATGTTCCTGTGTGTTGGCTGAGTTATTTGGCTGTTGCTAGCAGCTCCGGTTTGTTTGTTTGCTTGTAATCAAGTAGGCGAAGTGTTTCTGCCATGAAGCATGTGGAATAGCACTTTTAAAGAGTTGGTTTATATAGTTAATACTGTGACAACAGTTGTAGAATGTGGATAGATTGATAAGTATTGATTTAGGAGATGAAGATTATTATGCTTGACTCGGGAGATGTTGCCCACGTCTAAGTACAGTTGATTCCATCAGATGTTTTAGATTCTTGAAGAGGGTGGGAGGGTTATTTGTTTGTCCTCTTTTTCTAAAATGAATCTTTTCTTCGTTAGGTGGTGAAACCTTTTCTAGCTGATGATAGAAAATGAAGTGGTTTAGCGTAAATTAATTGATGTTGGTAAATTGGGAGATGTCACAATCAATTTCCTTGTGCTCGCTAGTTAGTTCTGCGGAGGGTGATTCACACTTTTCGGATTTGTATATTATACGTCGAAAGTTATTAGTTCATGCGGTTGTGGTACGTTTTGTTGCCGATTCCTTTTGGTTGAGATTATAAACATCCTGTTTGGGCCAGCGGTATCACAGCTTTTCTGGTCCTTTGATGAGTGGGTCACCGGTCGCATGAGGAACACAACGCACAGTCTCTCTCTGTCTCGCTCTCATTTATAATAATAAAATGAGGAAGAAGAAACCCTCCATCGGTCTCATTTAAAATAAATCAGTAAGAAGTAACAAAACCTGATGATCTGTTAATTAATATGTTGATCTCTTGACACTAACAAGAGAATAAGATGAGATTTTGTCGAGTTTGTCTTGACATAAATTTTTTTTATACCGGGTAACGTGTAATATATTAAAAAAAATTATCGATAGTAAGATACCATGCATATCTTATTTGATTACTAGATTTATAGGTTTGAAATTTCTGGGTCTAGTAATGTCGGTTATTGGGAATGACAATCAACCTTACTAAAGTAATTGAGTATGATCATCCACTCTTGGTATTATGAGAGGAATTGTTAGGATCAAATCGGCACTAGGGGGGAGGTGGGGGGATGAATTAGTACAGCGGATAAAAACGTCAGTTTTGAAAATCTTTCATTCGATTAAAACTTATTTCAACAAAAACCGTTTCAGAGAGATGTTAACTTGAAAGTGTTTTCGTAAGGTAGTAAGAACAGTAAGCAAGTAAGGCAGTTTGCAGTAAGGGAAAATAGCAAGCACAGAAATACAAACCAAGTTTTATAGTGGTTCGGTCGTCGTGACCTACATCTACTCCCGATTCCTCTTCCGTCGAGGCTACCAGCATCCACTAATGGTCTTCCTTCAATAGGCGTAGACCAACCACCTTCTTACAACTCTATTCTCCTTTTGACAGGCTCAAGAGAGAACCTTTACACCTCTCTTTTAGACCTATATCTCTCTTCTCCCTCTAGAAGAACTTTCTAAATACTAGAAAGAAGGGACTCTACTCTTCAAGAGAGACTACAATTTTTTCCTCAAGGATTCTTTCCCCCTTTTTAACTCACTTTCTTATTAAATCTTGGATTTTGATGATGAAATCAATTGGTAAATTATTTGATCTAATCCATGTGTTGAGATAAGTGTATAGGATCAACTACGATAGTAGTAAAGCGTAATGCAGACGATGAGTCGGAGTCGACGACTCAGATGATATACCGGGAGCTCGTCGAGAGTTCATCGTGAGATCACTGGAAGCACGTTGGAAGACTCGTTGAAAGCTCGTCGAGAGATCGCCGGAAGCACACCGAAAGACTAGTAGAGAGTTGGTGGGGAGTTCGCCGGAAGATCGCCGAGTGAAGAATCGACGTACCGGACCATGCTTGCCTTAATCGTAGTTAGAACAATAATTAGAAGTCCATATCTTGATAGTAAAATAGTGGGAGCATATTAAGATAGAAGTCCATATCTTGATAGTTTATTTCTTGCAAAATCTGCATGTTATACATTTCTGCTACATCTTTATTTTCAGAAAATGTCGTTTTCAAATCCCTTACGTGGCATACTTGATGTCAACCGCCTCACTGGTCCAAATTATACGGATTGGCTCCGTAACTTGAGAATTGTTCTCACAGTGGAGAAAATCGTATACGTCCTTGATATAGTGATGCCTACGCCCGAAGAAGGGGCAAGCGAGGATGAGATCGCTCGCTACGTGAAGTACATTGATGACTCCACTCTTGCTCAGTGTTATATGTTGGGCTCTATGACTCCAGAGTTATAGAGACAACATGAAAAGATGGATGCCAGATCCATTCTCCTACATGTCTGTAAATTGTTTGAGGAACAGGGAAGGACTCAACAATATGAGATATCCAAGAGCCTTTTCCGCGCTAGGATGACTGAGGGGACACCGGTTCAGAACCATGTCCTAAAGATGATCGAGTGGATAGAGAAACTCAC